CACTAGTTATGTGATAAGCATCCAGATATTCTTACCACTGATGTTTGGGTTACCATCAGATTCACATATGCTGAGTGGGGAGAGTATTGTCTGATAGAAGAATATGACGGGCATGGATTATGTCTGGCTTGTACAGAATGGATTCGACCTATGATAAATGCATTCTGTTATCGATGTAAAGCACCAAGACCTCTCGATTGGACTACTGGCAACAAGTTATTGGATTTGTTTATTATGGAGTCATGGAGTAATGTGATTGATGAACATGATGCGTATATACAATGGATAGAATACTCTCTATTGATGAATGTATGGGAAATGACATCATTATGCCATGGATGCACACATATAGCAGAATGGACAACAAATGAATTGACACATGTGACACTCAAAAAGATAGTTGGCAAGGGGGATGATCAATTATTTGATTTTCATCAGGTAAATTATTTCACGTGTAAAATTATTAACGTGTGTAAATTGACCAGTGTTGTAATGACTGTATTTGTTTACTCAAATAGCTAACAAAGGAATACCCAGAGATATTAACACCGGATAATATTTGGATAGTTGGGATCACTCAGGAGCCATCTACTCGGGAATATTATTTGGTTTTCTACTATGATGTGCATGCACTATTGGACAAGTTCATACAAGTTAATGAACTTGTAAAGTACATGGAGTATAGTGACTTTGATGAAATTAAGAAAATTGGATCTGGTGGTTATGGAACAGTTTATACTGCTGAATATAGAAACTATTCAGAAGAAGACAATTCAGAAGAGGGTGATATTCCAGAAACTGTTGTACTCAAACGGTTAAAGAGTTTTGATGAAATGCCAGAATTATTTATTTCTGAGGTAAGCAATAATTGGTAGTATTAATTAAAGTAATATTTAATTTGACATTGTTATTTATTAGTTCAGAAATCATGTCAAGTGTGCAAGTGCTAATTTATTCCTTGAAGTTTATGGAGTGACACAAGACCCAGAAACAAAAGAGTACATTATTGTTATGCAATACGCCAACAATGGTAGTCTTTTGTCTTATTTGGATCAAAATATTAACAAATTGACATGGAGAAGGAAACTATGGCATTTGAAGGATATTGCATATGATCTGTGTATTATCCATAATACAGGATTTGTGCATTGTGATCTTCATGGCGGAAACATAGTTTTGCATGACAGAGGATCTGAGTCAGGTTTGAGTCAATCGTTCATATGTGATCTTGGTCTTTCACGATCAGTGCATTCGCGCGAGTCAAAATCAACCATTCGAGGCGTTCTACCCTTTATTGCACCGGAAGTCTTCCATACTCAAAAATCAGACATGTATTCTTTTGGTATTATTATGTATTTGATTGCCACTGGTGAACCACCTTTTCGAAATAGGGAGTTTAATAGAGATTTATTATGTGATATTTTGAATGGATTATGACCGCCGATTCCCGATTCAGCACCAGAAAAATACAAGAAACTTGCTCAGCGTTGTTGTGATGCTGATCCTGACAAGCGTCCAGATGTGCGAGGACTTTTTTTTGATATTCACAACCTCCTTCAAGTGGTAGACAAAGACAATCCCGATGACAACGTGTGGAATACTATCTATCGTAATAATGTAAGACCATTATCACGTCTTGAGAAGGAGAGTAAATATTCTAGTATGCTCTTACCCACTGGAGATTTGCCTAAACCGAGAAACAGTTATGATTCAGTTGCAGGTACGAAGACAACAATTGGTTATACATTGATAAATTGAAGTCATTATTGACATTTTTTATCTCATTAATTCAGTGACTCAAGAATTGTAATTTACTGTTACATCAATACGATGTTTATACTTTATCATAGCAATTGTCCGCGGTTAAGCAATAAAAATTTTGATGAGTTCAAACACAATTTACTGTTCTATATATTGATGCAGAGCCGTAGTAGTAATTTTCGTTAGTATTAACGATAGATTATCCATAAATGCACGTAAGTGCAGCCACTCACAGATTAATTGCATTGTGAAAGTAAAAGTTTTGGCGACTGGTGCTTTTCATAGTAGATTACTTCCATTCCAACGTCATTCTCGCTTTTACAAGGGTTAACAGCAACGACATCCAATGCGTTTACTTTATCAATTTCATACATAGAAGACTATCTAACGCCACAAAGTTTATTATAAACCCCAACGAACTAGTGTCATATTTGCGTTCTTAGCAATAAGTTTATTTTTTGTCAACTCGCTGATTATTGAAAACAAATACACTTATATAATGTAAATCTCTGTAGTAAGTTCTACTGTTAATGCTGGAAATTGAACGTTTAAGCGCTCTTATTGACGATATTGCTAATGTGACAACTTAAGACGAAATCGGATAAATAAACTTTAGATGTATTTTTTCTTGAGCGAGTAACAATGCGATAGTCAGAAGTAGCCATAAGGCATCAATTTGAGCTTTACAACACAAATACAATCAACCATGTTACGGCCAACGTATTGGCAAATAAATATTTGCTACGCGTAATGAGGAAAATCTTAATGCGGAATCGAATGGGACCGAGCTATTTAAAAATTTTGGATTATCGGCTGGATGCATTAACCAGACAGCAGAGAGGAGACGGTAAATTCTTGAAACATACTATGAGGAAAGGGAAGGGGATATTATTGCATAAATTGTGAAAAAATAATAAGAATAACAAGTTCATTTTACCAACACGCCGTTTAATTAGTACCTACAACAAATTTTGAAAGTATACTTCAGAAGATTATGAGATTGTGAGTATGACACTAAATTACAGGCGACAAGACTAGTAGCTCAATACGTAATACAAATTCTCACGGTCCACATCTCCACGATATTTATTGTTAACAAACATAATATTGATAGTTGTGTGGATATAACGGTTCGCATTTCTTATTTTTTGATGATACTGTATTCAGATTATTGACAACTCCATCATCATGTGGTGTTACTGTCACGGGCAAATATAAGGATTGTATCACGCATGTCATAGGTAATTACTAGTACTTGCATGGGTGGGGTGGCTTACACCAATTGAGTTGTTCGTGACCGTAACTATTGTCTTTTTTCATCATTCCGAGTATTCTTTATGTTCATTTCACGTTAATAGGAATGGGTCCTAGCTCAATTTAGCACAAAGAAAAGAACGCCCAACTGCAAGTATCTCCATATCAAACTTTGATAACTACATCTGGGTCGATCTATTCACCATGCAATTGTCATGTAAATCTGTAGGATCTTTTTTTTTTTTGACACAAAGACAATTCAACCGCAAGATATGTATAGTTTCGGATCGCTCTAGTCCGTAAGTCTAGTTCTCGAGGGCATGCATTTAACATGCTTCTTAAATCAACTACATCTCTCTCGCCATATATATAACTTTTTGTAACAAGTTGTTGAGCCACCGAAAACATTGATATTCATTATCGTACGTACAAAGATCTTGCTGATTACAATTTATTAAGTCTATTTCTCTAAATACAACTTGATAAGTGATATTTAATAGGAACTCTGGTTTATTGCTGTCCCGTTTGCCTTCTGTTTTTTAAGCTATGGACTTGATGTATCAGATAACATCGTACTGTAGTTATGCATGTTTTTTTTGTTATGCCCCAAAAGGTAGATGTTTATGTGACACGGGGGTTGATCTTTGTCATAGTGATTTACTTAAATGGTATTGTGTTCCTCTTTTCTAAAAAAGTCCGTGGGAGTTTAAGCATCCGTGAAGTCATTCTGAAATTTAGAGCTCTTCTTTGCCCATCGTGAATACAAACATATTTCCAAGTACCCGAATATTGTCCCCGATGATTTGCACTTGTGCTATATCTGTTGTCATTTATTATGCTATCTATGATGAGTAATCAAAGTTTTGGTTCATATCGATTGTCTCATATCTTTTATGCCTTCCAAATAAAGATGACAATCCCCTGAGTAAGCTGCATCATATCGATAAACTATATCACATTATCGGAGATCGGGAGAACATTGGAAATCACGGGCTGTCAAAGTTTTGTGGCTTTGCTAATTCTACCGTCTATCAGGTTTTGCATTAGCATTAGCGATCCACATTATGTTAATAGATCCTTATCCGTGAACATGCATATCTGATGAACCAATAAACATCCTCCATCAGCAGTCGACCTTTTCATTTTGTGGCAAAGACGATTCCCAAACTGATAGTCCTCATAACTTTTTTTTTCATCCAATTATTGAGCCAAACCGTTACGCCGCTCGCTGTTCGCCGACTGTGAAATTCGTATCTCGATAAGTTTATGCAAGATAAGGAATGTTGTCGTTTTCTAGAAACTAAAGCGGACGGACCATTGAGGCAAAACAAATTGCATATCAGCTGCCTTAAACAAAGGGCTGTGTTTAATAATGCCCAAATACGGTTAACACTTGGCATTCTTTATTTAGATCAGCAATCGTATGACGGACATGTAATATATAAATATATAGATTACATCAACATGTGCTTGACTATTAATAAACACAGAAAAAAGATTGCACTTTCTCAGTTTCGATATCACAAACCAATAAATAGAAAGAACGAACAGATAAATAGATGGTTTTTGAGATTAGATTTTATCTACCATCTTATCGATACGATGCACAATACTGGATTTAGTCAGCAAAATATGGCTACTGGGTGAATCGGGAGATAATAACATTATCTCGCAGAGAGTGTGAATGAAAGATTAGTGTAAAGGAAATCATTGGCTGAAAGTAAACGATTTAGAACTAAAATAGTCATCATGATATAACATAGTAACAAACACAAGTATCAAAAATGTGGTAACTCACGCCGTCCTCTGAGTTTCGAGAAACTCTACTCATTTCTATAAATACACACATCTCGTCCAAATCAAACTAACCCAACCCCCAAAGGTCATAACAACAGAAATTCAAATCACATCCGACTACTTACGCACATCCTCTCTCATCATAATACTGATCATAATAATAATACCCAATGACATCAACTCTAAACATGATACATACTAGTCCTAGGCCATGGTATAAGAGCAAACGCTTTTTGATCGGCTTCTCCTTTTTCGTGTTCATTCTTGGGGGCATAACGTGCTTGATCCTATTGGCCCTAGTCCATCCAGCACTAGCGGAAGACGTTGTCAAAAATTCTTCTTATTCCATATCCAAGCTGTCCCTTTCGCCCGTTTCCACAAAGTCCGCATCGATATCGATTACCGGTGAATTCAACGCTGGCCGAACTGGAGATATCACGTTTACCAAACCCGTTGTCTTTTCTGTCGACCAAGTGGATGTTGGGAGCGTTGAACTTGATCCGATCAACGTTGAAAATGATAAAGGAGCAGTCGACGATCAAGACAAGACTTTGGACATTGCCAATTCAACTGCCTTGGGTGGTTTGGTGCACAAGATATTGACTGACAAGGAGGTCGAGGTTACAGGCACAAGTGTTGTTACAGTCTACGTAATCGGAATAAGTAGAGCCGGGATTGGTATGACCAGTCCGTTCAAGATCAATGGTGAGCTATATTTATCAAACTTTACATTTAGGCCATTAGCGTATCAAAAAATTGATATTAATTGTATGTCCGATTTTCTTTTCTTTATGATTAGGCGCCGACAACTTTGCTTCTTCCACCGCAACCGCCTCTGTAACAAACACAAACATCACCGTCACTCTCACACTTCAAAACCCATCATCTCTCTCGCTTTCTCTCACCTCAATCTCGTTTGATCTGTCATACAACTCGGCCGTAATCTCCTCTCTCAATTCCACATCTCCAGTGTCGATTTCAGCAAACAGTCCCACGACAGTCTCACTCGCAGGAAACCTGGCATCAGGTGCGGCTGCAGATGATTTCAAAGCCAAACTGGCAGGTGGAAGCGTACCAGCAGTTTTGACAACTACGAGTGGTGTAGCTGATGGAAAAGGAGCTGATTGGGTGAATGCTGGTGTTACGGGAATTAACATTGCCGTCACGATTAGCAAAAAATAAGGAATGTGTGCAGTTGATTCTCGCGCAAATAGTCAGCGAGAATATGTTATATATATAAGGACGACTATGTATAAAGGTTGCTTTTGATTATCATTGACATTTATTGACATTATTACATTTATGGGACATTGTTATATTGTTATCCAAGCCTGGTATTATTTCTATAATCTCATTTTAATTTACTTAACCATACGTTCCTTTGAACAAATATACATATACATATATATATATATATACCGACATACATATATAAATCAGTATATACTTAGAACCAGAATATTAAATATCTCCACGTCTTGTGAATGGGGATAAAATAAACCGAAATCACGCATCGCGTTTTATTATTTGTTTGTCTTATGTGCGATATAATACAATTATCCGTCACATCCTATGCCTTAAGGGAAAGTCCACGATACTGTAATTCTTGTCGATGAGCTTGTTTGAGAGACGTTCTGCATATCTGTTTTTGCATGTGTCAAATAAATATCAGTTACATCAACCTACTTAGCGGCGTAATTTTTACTACTTGCGGCGTTTGTGTTCCTTACGTCGAGATTCTTGTCGTGAAGATCTGCTAAACCAGAAAAGGTATCCTCTGTCACATGTGCTAAAGATAAGCTTTTGACTAAACAAACAAGGAATAGAGCCATCTATAAACACATCCGAATTTAGGCAATCGCCGTTAACATAAGGTAAACAGATGCGCATAATGAAATTGGCATTATATTCTGTATACTTTTGTATTAACAGTTACAGTTTATTTTTTACATCAATTACAAATAGAGCTAATGGCCTCAATTAAAAGCCAAGACATCATCTTTGGCAGTTCTGATACCTTCACAAAGAATGAATTCGTACTAACGTGTGTTGATATTGTTTTGAGTGAGATGAAGATGTAGTATAATCTCACCCGCATACTCGTAATCATACATTCAGTATATGGAAAAGTATTGATATACGAAACTTGAAAATTAGAATCCCTCTTTTCTACTGATAAGTAAGGTTTGCGAGATTACGTGATGTGTTGACGCTTTACTGACAATTTCCCACGCTATTGGCCAAGAAAGGTATTTTTTCAATCTGTAAATGTAGCTTATTCGGCGTATGCAAGGCTTGACTTATTTTGTCGCATGCATTGTGACGTGGGGAATGTGTGTTAAATCAAAATACAATAACTAGTAATTTCATATCCGATTTTATTATACAGTACTCAATCGTATATATATTACACGTGTTAACCCTTAATCTACTGGTCTTGTGACAACCGAATAAGTAATCGCTCGAACATAAGAATTACATGAGAAAATTACAAAAGCTAACTAAACATACATTCCATCGACTATTTATCTATGAGATAATTGGTCTATACTTCAATGTGTAATTGTGTCAGAAACATTTTTGTGGACGTTGATCGTCATGTGTCGGTGGTCCGGGGGGTTTCTTGTCCGTTTGATTGACACACACAAAAAGAATACAGCGTAAAACCGCATACTATAATATAAATAAATTGATTTCAAGGTTTGCAGGCAAATCAAACAACGCCATCGAATGCAGGTTACGAGACGTTTATAATAATAACCGAGTTGTAGCTCGAAACAAGACATGTGTCTACAGTATCCACTCCGTTTATGAATGCTATATTGTCATCTTCCAAAAAAACTCGAAAGCGTACAAAACGTATGGACCACGTTCAACTGGAAGTGATAGTGCTGAAATTCAAAAATAGCGTTTTTTAGTATTAAGAAAAAAACTTTTTAAAATCAAATTTTATGAAGAATAGCATAAAAGAACTAAGACGCAGTTGGTGTAGACAAAAAAGGTCTACTTGTCGGTGCATACATAGATGGTGTTGCCACAATGATGGGAAATTAATAAATACGTAAACAAACCTTATTATGACATTTGCTGTCATTTTCATTTCTACGATGTAAACATTATCGAAAATACGCTCAGGCGTGTTTATCATCAAACTTGGTTTCTGGGTAATATGTCACATTAACATGTATAAATCCGGAATTTATTTGGTGACGCAAATTATATGCGGCATACTCCATGAACAAACAGAATTTGTCAGGCAAGTATACACAATAAATTATGTTGCCAGGTAAGCGTACACGATAAATAAATAGCGTATTAATAGACCTTATTTCTGAGAATAAAAGTCGGAGTAGTCTCCACTACTACTACTACTACTACTACTACTACTACTATACTACTACTATACTACTACTGCTACTACTACTACTACTACTGCTGCTGCTGCTGCTGCTGCTGTTGCTATTGCTGCTATTGCTGCTGCTGCTTTGCTGCTATTGCTGCTACTACTTAGTCTTTGTCGAAATTCGATTCAATTCAATTGAATAAAATCAAGAAACAAAATGACCCGGCATACTGCTAATCATTTTGAAAAAAGCCAACCAATCATCGTCACCAGATGAGCTACAAAATAAAGAACAATTATCAATTACTGTAAGTTTGTGCAACGCTCAATTTGTTTTTATATACGTTGACGATTCGAAGAATTTTAAATAATTTAAATCTAACACTAAATAAATACAAAATGCCTGGTAAGCTTAGTTACTTACATTCTTTTAACACCGTCTGCTACAAATGAGCATAATAGTAAATCGCTTAATTATTTAGATTACGGACCAATAGCGAATGAAATATCTTGCTATGGATTACCATACGGATTATTTGGAATCGGCAGTTGGTTTTTTGCCCTCATCTGTACCATGAGAACGTTTGCAAAGCCTTCAAAAAAACAGAGTTTGATACGATCAGGCATCAAACTTGTCTCAACATTATGGCCAGTCATTTCTTCGTGCTTTACATGTAATAGAAGTTGGGTTTTCATACTTATGGCACTTGGAAAATTTGCTCCAGAGGCTCTCAAACAGCTTAAAACCCGCATTGTCGTTTCCAAGAACATGCCAGATAAAGAACATAAAACAAATAGACGACTGACCAGCACCTTGAGGTTTTTTGCCGTCTTGACGACTGTTTGCCTGTGTCTTGCCGGTTGGGCAGCTTTGGTTACGTTTGTCGTCAAGCTACCGTCAGACTCAAAAAGTCCCGAATTTTCAGTGTGGATAAGTGTGATCATTTCAGCCATAATCTTTATAACCGTTTTATTTTGTATATCATTATGCTTAGAACGTTGTTTAAAAGCTATGGGTATGGATGAAGGCGCTTGTAGCATTATGGTAGCTTACGCTTTAACGGCTTCTCATGTTGTCTTTTCGCACATAATTCTTGCCGATCTGTACAAAAATTGGAATGGAGTTCCGCCTGACGTGTATCAAAAAGTGACAGCAATCGTATTTGCGATTGGGATAAACTTGGAATTCTTTGAAATACTGGAATCTTGGTATGACCGTTATAACTCTAAATCTAACTCTCCGGCATGATCGCTATACCTCTAAATCTAGCTCTTAAAGAACACTTTGTTGTTGTAACTGTGGTGACTTTAGCACAATCTGTGATAGCTATCAATTGAATTTAATTATCATTAACATTATAAATATTGTATATTATTTATCTAGTAAATAAAAACTGTGTTTTTCGTTGTTGGCTAATAGCACGACTGATACTACGATACAAAGCTTACAAAGTAGCATACGTTTATTTTTAAAACTTTGCGTTTCTTCGACTAATCTGTATGGGAACACCGTTTAATTTACGGTTGCGTTATTGGTTATTACGAAGCACAAACATCTAACAATAGATAAGGGACGGCCTATATTTTTAATACAATATGTTGTATAATATAATATCAACTAGCAACAACCGCCACTTGTTTATAAGATGCAAGTAATATATCAGTGTTTGTTCCAATGCGTCGTCTAAGTACAGTTTAATATTATAACTGATGGTTAATGGATAGCTTGCGTACTTTATCACATAGTTTTTACTCTGGTTTGAATCAATTAGAAACTATACATATACAAAGGTTGTTTTGTCGTTTGTCGCTCACTTCCTATCTATACATGTTAAATGCAAGTAATTATGGTGTAAAATTCCATTGGTGCTAGGATTTACAAAATGTAACAAAGCATTCCTTTTTGCAACAAAATAAAATTACAGCGCACAGATAGTGCTTGCCGTCGTACAAAAGTAAAATAAATTTAACATGCTCTAGTTAAACGTCCTACTTGGCGTTTGGCATATGAGTCTAGGTTTAACAAAAACAGTGTTCTACTGCAAAGCTAACAAGCGTTTAACATATTTTGTAATACTAACAAAATTGACTAATATTGATATCGAGTTGCGTCAAAAGCTTTTCTACTTGTTGAACAAAGCATATGCAAGCATATACGTATACTAGCTAGTTCTCAGGAGGCCAGAAATAATTACTGGCGGGTCAAGATTTTGACGCACGAACTGGATATAATTTAGCTACAAAAAAAAGGCTATATTAATGACATTTAATGACAATCGAAAGTACAAGCTTTGGCAAGATTTAACGAGCTTGTATGTATAAATTAATTTTAGAGCATTTTAAATTTATCTCTTACATTTTAAAATAATCCTTTAGTTTTTTTGTTGTAACAGAACAAAGTATGCAAACCTTACTGTATAAGGACAGCATTTTTTCTGTAGATTGTTATAAAAATCTTCGACCTTTTCCCCTATCTTTTTAACGTGAGCAATAACCATTTTTTGACGTTGTATACATTCTTCCCTTCAACGAGTTTTGAAAACCTTTATTATTGTCAAGCAGGGCGTCGGGACCATAACTACGCATAGCGTAATAGAAACAAATCGGTTAAAACATCCTCTTTTCAAGATACTACTGTTATGTAGACGATAATGCTAAAAATGTACGTCGTATATAGCTGGAATACGGTTTAATGCGTTGTATTACAAAGCTTTTGCAAAATAAAAAAAAGAATGGCGTAATAAATATGTATAGCGTCCAATTTTGGTCACGTAAAATGCATAATAAACATAAACATCCATGCTGTAATTGAACAACTCTGATTAAAACATACCAGCCGCATGGCCCAGTAACAATCCTGACATCAACTCCATTAAAAATCTCTGGGCCATTGTTAAAAGTGGAGTGAAAAAAAAAAAAAAAAGTGTAGTAAATTAGAGCCATTTCAGATAATGTCTAAGGATATTTAATAAAGCTAATGCGAAAGAGCGTTGAAGCAATCTCATTTTAATTAATACCAATAAAATCTACAGCTTTTTAGCTTTAAAATGATTATCTTACAGTACATATCTTACATATGACTCGAAAAAATAGTTGTGTCATACTGATAAACATAGATTTTGTAAATACACCCGTACAATGACAAATATAAATATTAAAATAGCCTGTTCATTAGTAGCAAATAGTTGTTTCTCATCAGTCCGTCACAGACTTTAATAAAATTTCTAATCATTAATTATCAAAAAGTCTTAATTAAAGAATAGAAGACTTTTCTATATTAGAGTGCTAAGTGTATATGCTACGTGTATATAGTCCATTGTAAAATTTGTAGGTGATGTCGGCATCATGTGATAACGGAGTAGTCGGGCTCTGATTCTATCATCAACGTATATAATACTTTGAAAAGCGCATCATAATTTATCCGTGACGTAGTAAATTGCCTAACAATTACAATTGTGCGTTCTCTTTTAAACAGTAGAATGAGCGCAAGACGCCAATTTCAATTCCACATTACATTTCAGTTTTAAAGCAACCCAAATACAGACGTTCATCTATACAGTGGTTGATAGTCTGGTTAAGTCTGTGTTCGAGTTATTGGAAATGCTGATAGACGTGTTTTTCCATTAGTTAGCATAAACTGTGTGCCCCGTTGTTCTAACCGTACAGACTTATCGTGCCGTATATGTAGTCATAATCCAATAACTAACATATCTTCGATCATCACTCGTTGGAAACATTAATTTAAACATACTAGTCAAGTAAGTAACTAATCGTTCGCTAAGAGAAATAATAATTTCTAGAGCCAAGACAACGCAAGAAACTTGAAATAGACAGTAGTATCAACATAGCAGAATCTTTAATAAAAAACTGACGCAAACTCTTCAGTAAGGGTGAAGCTAAATAATCAGCGGCTTGATAAGAACGTTTGACAGTTTACGTTGATGTGAATAATACTTTTGATAATCATTAACCGCGTCCGTCTAAGTCGTGTTGAATTCAAATAAAAAATCAATTTGTAGATATCAATTTGTTGTACACAACAATTGTGTGATCTCACTCTCCTTATTAACGACATAGTTTGTTCAAACAACAATTTCGGACATTGAACATGGACATCGACACTGAGGTCGTGAGTTATTTAACTAAAATAGGAGAAGCAACAGCTTGTCGGACTAGCTTACACTTGGGAGAGCAGCGGTATACTAGCCGTTTTGGGATTTAGTTCGTTTCCAACGGAAGCTTTCGCTCTTCCTACTTTAAACTAAATATCGTACAATTAGTGACCTTTTTCACAGGGTTTAATACTCACGATTCGTATACGATCGGTCTTGTATACGCCTTTCTCAGGTTATTGTTTAATCTCGAGATTCTCAGCGGTTCCTTGATGGGATTAAGTTCGAAATCTATCGGAACGGGGAATTGTAATATTTATAGGTGTTAACGATTTAATTAAACAATAATCCTTGAATGCAAAAGTACTAAATAGAATTAATCGCCAAGAATCAATTCTATTTACCGTCGGCAGGAAAAGCGATTTACACCCAACGATACTAAGTATCTTTTATCAGGGAATAATCAAGTTTATATTTGAATCGGATATTTATTAAATTATAAGGAATTATCTAATAGCGACGTCTTGCTAAATGATCTGAACTGAAGACCGTTACGAAGATTTCTGAAGATGATTTTTAACTACTAGCTACGACTCGTATTTATAACTAATTTACGTTCTACAGCTGTCAAGAAAACTGGATATATTAATATGGGGAAATTTGTGTTTGTCAAGAATTATGGATATATGCGGACATCTTATGGTTGTCAAGAAATATGGATATATCCGGATAGTCCGTCAAAAATTTCGGTCAACAAATGTTCGATGTTTGTGCGCCTGATTTTGTGCTGCGCAATTCCGTTTGACACCGTACCACTAAGCGGAAATCACGGAGGAATACGTCATACTTAGGCCTCGATCCTGACAAGCTCCGCCCTGAAAGATAGTTAAATCCCAAGAGATTGTTCTCCTGCGATTGTTTATTCGACAGTAGTCTCATGACTTGCAGAGGTGGTCTCCTGACCATATGCGCATTTGATTGGTTAATTGAAATTTCGTTGTGTATAATTTTGAAAAGTGTGATGAGTACTCATAGGTATGACATAAGATTCTTGTAATCGAAACAAATTTACATCAATATACAATACACAATGCAATGTAAAAGAACTAGTCTTTTATTATACCAAAAAACTTAATATAATAATTTAATATAAACTGACACATAATAAAATAACAAATGAAATTCTCAGAATTTGATAAACTAAATTAATGATAATGATAATGATAATGATAATGATAATGATAATGATAATGATAATGATAATGATAATGATAATGATAATGATAATG